TTCTTTTCTTTTCTTTTCTTTTCTTTTCTTTCTTTCTTTCTTTTACAGTCAATTCTTATGAAATATTTCTTGTGTAAGTGAATTGCTCCTCTGAGGTGGTAAAGGTCACTTTGCAAATGTCTTAGACTTGAAAACAGAGTGAAGAGAAGCAGCAGCTGACCTGTTTGGGGAGCGTACTTTGCAGGTATTCCTGCTGCCTTTTCTTGGGCACTGTTATGTTTAGCCCTGGTACTCCTGGTGCCTGTCATTCCAAATGCTCTGTTTGATCCATGAACAAATGTAATTCTTGCTGGGCCTTCCTAGGAGGACAGGGCGCTGCTTCTGGAGACAGCTCTCACCTCCTGTGCTGTCTCAGTATTGGGAGCAAATAACATTTCCAAAAATCACCAGCCAGAACTAAGAGAGAGCTTTGCTCTGATCCAGTACAAGCCCCATTCTGTGTTAACTGACAGCAGCCTTGGCATGGGTGAATGAATCTCAGCAACTTCCAGCAGACTGAGTGCTGGAGTTCAAACAGCTTGTAACTGTCAGATAAAAAACAAAATGGCTTTAAGAGAATATGGGATGTATTAACAGTTATGCTGTCTTTTGGAACAGGAATGACATCTGTTTGTATTAAATCAGCTATTCCAGTTAAGCATAGATCAATGACTCTATGGTGAGAATTAGCGAGAAGTGACTTTTGACTTAATTAGGACCAACTGATTCTAATTAAGTCAAAAGATTTTAGGGGCACAATACAGAACAGTGTAGGATCCTAAAGAAGTTGAATGAAAACTTTTTGTACTCATGTTTAAAACAGTGCTACTTTTGGGGTGCCTGGGTGGCTCAGTCGGTTAAGCATCTGACTTCGGCTCAGGTCATGATCTCGCAGTTTGTGAGTTCAAGTCCTGCGTCGGGCTCTGTGCTGATGGCCTGGAGCTTGCTTCAGATTCTGTGTCTCCCCCTGTCTCTTCCCCTCCCATGCTCATGTTCGGTCTCTCTCTGACTCTCAATAATAAATAAACGTTAAAAACTTTTTTTAAATTTCTACTTCTAGTGTTAGAGAGTGTCTTGTTGGTTGAAAACAAAAAAACCTACTCTCAAAGACACTTATTGTACAGAGGCAAAGAAGCATCACATGGGCATGTATTTAATATAATAATGCAGTACAAACTGAGCAGAGGTTTTGAGAATACTCTTGGGTGTGATGAGAGTTCCTCCAGAGTTCTGGCAGGTGGCAGGGTCTCAAAGAATTGGTTTGAGAAGAGGCAGGATTCTGGCAAACCACACAGATATACATTATGTTATGACCCCATCATTTAAATGCATATTAAACTAGCCAGGAAAAGAATCTTCTTCCCAGCTCTGTTACCACAAGATTGGACCTAATGAAAATGATAGTATACCTGGAAAGGATTTTACAGCACATGTGTGAGGTCTCTTTCTGTTCTCTCTGTTGTGTTGTTGCTATGCTCTGAACCTGCTGAGGGAGGGCCCAGGGACTAGGTGAGAGTGGTCACAGAAGAGAGACCCCTGGGCTGGTGTTCACATGCTGATGCCAGAAGATAGTAGTCAGAGTCCCCTCCAAAGTGTGGATTTGGTTGGGGTAGAGAGGGGAGTTGACATTTTCAGAAAATCATCTTCAAGAGTATGTGAACCAGTTGGGAATCTTCATCTCTGCAGATTTCCTTAGAGAGATTGTCCCCTCTTTGTATCCTTGGTCAGCATGGGTAACAACCTGGCAGAGGTAAGAGTCTAGGTAGCAGTTCCCGGGGTCTGCAGGCTGTGGTTCCACACCCCCCAGAGAGCTCTTGTGCTTTCTTTTCAGTGTACTAGGAAGGCTCCTACCTCTAGGAGACTTCAGACATTGTATCTCTTGGGTGAGATAAAAAATTTTTTATGTCTCTGTTAATTGACCTGACTGGATTCGGATGACAGGTTTGTTTAAAATGTGGGGCTGATGGAGACCCAGGCAGGCAGGTCCCCCCTCTCCCCAGCCTTTTGCAGTGCCCCTGGGGCTCAGGACTGTGCCTACAGCCTGCTCACTGGCTGCATGCTGCTGTTTTGCAGAGGGTCTGAGCTGCATGAATCAGAATCACGGCTGTGGTCACATCTGCAAGGAGGCCCCGAAGGGCAGTGTCGCCTGCGAGTGCAGGCCAGGTTTTGAGCTGGCCAAGAATCAGAGAGACTGCATCCGTAAGTACAGACTGGCACACGCCTGTGCTGGGAACCATCCTACTCCACAGGTTGTCTTCTGCAGCCCAGATCAGAAATGCCACCTCATGGTGGAGCAATCACATCAGGAAAGGCAGCCATCTTAAGATACTGACCTTCACTGAGGACTAAGTTTGCTGCGCAAGGGTAGTCTCTGATAGGGAAAGGAAATGATACTTTTTAAGGGAACCAATTAGAAGGAAATAAAATTTGGGAGTGAGGACTGTGAATGTTGGGGGCCAGTCTCCCTGTTCCCACAGAATGAAACCAAATGTTGTCATCTGGCAATCACAGCTCTTTGCTACCTGGTCCTGCTTCTTGTACAAGCCACATCCACCTCCTTTTCCCAAACACCGATCTATTTGCCTGCTGGAGAACAGCCCATGTTCTTTCATGCCTCCAAGCCTTCTCCAAGCCCTCCTCCTCACCTGGCTTGGTGAATTCTCACTCAATTTTTAATATTCTGCCTAATGCCTAATAATGATAATAGCTACTTTTGGGGAACATTTACTGTGTGCAAAGTCTTGTCCAAAGATGTACCAATTCCATTGAATTCTTAATATCACCACCCTATGAGCTAAGTATTATTATCCTCATTTTTAGTTGAGAAAATTATGGAGAAGGTAAAGCAACAAGGTCACACAGGGAGCACATGGCCAATTAGGATTCGGGTGTCGATCTAGCTCGAAGGCTCTTTAGCACTTTGCTAGACTTCCCCAGAAGCCCTGACAGACCTGGCAGCCATTTTGTATTTTGGCTCCCACAGCACTGTTGATTCCTCAATTATAGCACACGACACCAGGCTTGAATTGTGTATTTATGTGTCTGTCTCCCCAGCTGTGAGCCCCCACAGTCAGGGACCTTGTCTTATTTTTGCTTCTTAGTCTTCCCCTGGTGCCTACCACAGGATGTGCTCACTACACATTTATTTATGAATGGATGGATCAATGGTGTACCCAGTCTGGACACAGCTGCCATACAACGATGAAACACAATAATGAAACTCCAACTGGTAATAGGGAACAACCTGCCATTAAAGGTGTTCCTAAACCACTATCTATGCCAGAGGAGACAGATGGTTTTCCTTTAGCAACTCTTCCCAAAGCCATGGACTTTCTATAATTCCCCTGCAGTTTGCGGAGGATGGTTGTTTACAGTGAGTCGACCTGAGTGGTTAAGAGATGAGGAGGTAGTTTCTCTGGTGAGAGACTTTTCTTCATTGTCTCCATCACAAAGCAGAGTGCAGCTCTGAAACCTGCCAAACCAGGGCTGGTGCCACCACCAGAAATAGATTCTGACAGACTCTTAGGACTCCTAAAAGTGAGGCTGTCCCTGCGAGCTTCTAGTGGGCTGAACCAAGTGGCTCCACTAGGTGCCTTCACAAGGAGGACCCATGTCTCTAGAGGAGACTCACCTGTGGAGTGAGACTCTTTGGCAGTTCAGTTTTTCAGGGGCTAGTAGAATACCTGGAATTTAAATTTTAAAATATTCTTGAGATGTCACTTCCTCAAAAATTATTATAATTACATTTGAGGAAAGAACAAAAAGAAAAACAGAAGAATTCCACCACATAACCAGCTGTTTCACTGTTTTTGTTTGTTTGTTTTTTGCTCTTCCCTCATGTCCCTTCACTTTTTCCATATTCCCATTTAGTTGTTCTCAGACATACTCAATTTTTACACCACTGTGACCACAGAACAGTTTCTTTCTCACGTCACAAATATGTATTTCGTTCTGTCACATTGGAAACATTACACATGCTTATGTAAGAATTTCAACAGCCCTAAGTGTGTAAAGAAAATCTATAACCTTCCCTTTCCCATTTCTCTTGCCAGAGGTAACCACGGTTCAGTTTGATGATAGATCATTTTGAGTTGGCTTTTTTTTTTGGCTTATCATCAGTGAGTTCATACACAGTCTTCGTAATCGTTGGTTAATGTTGCATTAAATGTGTGCAGTCATCATTTCCTCTACATTCCCTCCCTTCTAAGTAATCTAGATAGAATCTGATGAGAGAAATTCTAACGTATTTGTACAAATAAGTATTATCTGTTTCTTCCAGAGTAAAGTGCTAGAACATTTTCTAAAGCCCCAGTATAGCTGTATTAATATGCAAACTTCTCCTGATAGAACAAAGCAGTAGTCTAGAATCTTTTGGCATAATTCCTCCGGAATAGTGATAATCTCTCTTATCTTCCTGTTGCCATTTTCCTGTATAACTGCTCAAATCTGTCATTCAGCATTTCTTTTTTTAAAATGTTTTTTTAAGTTTATTTATTTATTTTGAGAGAGAGAAAGAGAGAGCAGGGGAGGGGCAGAGAGAAAGGGAAAGAGAGAGAATCTCCAGTGGGCTCTGCACTGACAATGCAGACCCCGATGTGGGTCTCGAACTCACGAACTATGAGATTGTGACCTGAGCTGAAATCAAGAGTCAAGATGCTTAACCTACTGAGCCACCCAGGTGCCCCAGCATTTCTTGAATTCATACTGTGACTATCTGTTTACATAGACAGCGTCTGGCTCTGAGTCAGGGTTACTTCTTTTATGTGCTGTGCCTAGCACACAGTAGGTGTTCAAAACTTGCTGAATGACAAGCAGAGATCTTCTGAAGCAAACCCATCCCTGGTTGTGGAAAAGTCAGTGCTCAGTGTGTTGCTTGGGTTTCCTCTTAGTGACCTGTAACCATGGGAATGGTGGGTGCCAGCACTCCTGCGAGGACACCACCGAAGGCCCGGAGTGCAGCTGCCACCCAGGGTACAAGATGCACACAGATGGAAGGAGCTGCCTCGGTGAGTGACCCCTACACTTGGTGAGGGTCTGCCCCAGCCTGCCCACCCCTAACCCCAAAACTGAACCTAACTGTTAATGGTGTTTAGCACCAGATTCAGGGTATTTCCAGAGCATTTGCCTCCAGATGGGTTCCGTGATGCTTTACATGTGGTGGTGGGAGTAGTCTAGTCCTGGGAGGGTGTCCCCTCTCTCCCTGTGCCACCATGGAAAGCCCTTTCTCTTCTCCTAGACTAGGGGGGCTCCTGAAGATGGTACTCTGGAGACTGGGACAATACATCCTAAAGGTCCAGAGCGACATGAAGTTAAAGCTAGCCATTTGTGATGACACAGTGGCCCTTATGGTCAGCAGAAGCCCATGTTGCCTATTTCTGTCAGGATGCTATCCTGTACTTCATGGTCCGTCCTTTGCTAGCTCCATTTTAGAGGTTCCCAGGCCCCAGGTTCTTTTTGTCCTGGACTGAGGGTACTGGAGTGAATCTGAAGCTTACATTCCCTAGTGTCTCTTTGGTCACTGCAATATGCTTCAAAAATCTTTTCCATATTTAATGTTTACTAAGGCTCTGCGGCCATTCAACATACTGTGTTTCCCGCAGAGCCTCTTTACAACACGTTTTTATTGAGGGAACAGAGTGGCACATCTTACATTGTTCTCGTGTCTGGGGTTTCGGCAGAAGGGGTTGTGCAGGGGATGAATAATCTGATTCATTCAGTCTGAGAACTGTGCTGTTTTGCGTCTCTTATAGAGCAAGAGGACGCTGCCTTGGAGGTGACAGAGAGCAATGCCACATCAGTGGTGGACAGTGATAAACGGGTGAAACGGCGGCTGCTCATGGGTAGGCACTGCCCCCTCTTCCTTGGCCACTGTCCTGTCCCCTTCCCTCCTTATTACATCAGGCCTGAACCTGGGCCTAACTTATTACATCAGGGCCCCTACACCCTCAGACCAGCTGGACCTGGGTCAGCAGCTCCTGTCAAGCCACATTGTGTCTGTTCTTCACCCACTGCTGTTACTTAGTCACCATCCAAGGACTCTAGAATTGTGGGAAGGGCACCGGCCCAGCAATCAGAACAAGCAAGTTAGCCTCCTAGCGCTGCCCCCAACTGGCTGTGAGACTCGGGCAAATCCTCCTGAGCCTCGGTCTCCTGGTCTTTCTTTGAAACGGATATAATAAAACCTACCTCTTAGGGTTATCAGGAAGCTCAGTTATGATAATAATATGCAAAAGTGGCCATAGTCCAATGCCTGGGACTTAGTGGGTGGTCAGTGGATGTCAGTTCCTGTCCTTCTGAGTAACTAACTGACCAGGGAGGCACTTTGGGCAGGCAGCCCCTAGCTTAGCATGGTGATTTGTCTGGGTTTTTGTCAGCCGAGCCATCTTCTCTCTGACTTCAGCCCATGTTAATGGCAAAAGAGATGAATGGAGAAGAGTGGCACTTGGCTGTGGGATATAAGAAGGTCTGCCAGCAGATCTGCCAGCGGAGCTGGAGACGGGAACAGAAGTAGAGGCAGTGGCTGTGTGGGTGGCAATCAGATCCTCTGGCACATTATTATTCTGGAGAAAGCTTGGCTTGACCTAAACAAAACCAGTTTTTTGATAGCTTCTATATTTAACAGGTAATATATTGAGCAGACATTGGCCACCAGGCAGGTGACATTTCTGAGCTCTTTTCTACCCGATTAAAATTATTTTTAATTGCGTTAAATTAAAATACTGCATACGAGTAGTATAAAAAACCTTAAAAACTTTAATCAGTGCTATTAGGCATGTAATGAAATACATCATTTCCTTGCCTCAAAACTTCCCTTTCCCTCATCCCATTTGACAAAGGCAACAATTTTCATTTCTCCTAGTTGTTTCTTCTTCTAACTTGCCCTCCACCATATTTCTGAAAAGTATATATAGTTATTTCTCTTTTTCTCACGTATATTGTGACATTATACACTTATTTCTTGATGTGTCAATTTTAGATATTTACTTTGACTTCCTATTCCAGGACACAACAAGTTTTAGCTCTCTTCTGCCCTCTCCCCTAATGCATACACTCCCTCTCCCATACCCTTAATGTGGTTTTATCACTATTTAAATCAATATTATGTATTTACATCATTGTGATTATGAATATCTAAATATGATTCACCTGAACCACATAATGTGCTATGATTATTATTTTCTCTGCTTAGTTTTCTAAGTACCTCTTAGCAGTTCTTTTGCAAATTTCAGGCAGAGTTCTAAAACCCTTTCAATGTGTTCAAATACAACAATTGTCTTATCAATTCCATTTTCTTCTTTTTATTTTATTTTATTTTTTTTCAGTATATGAAATGTATTGTCAAATTGGTTTCCATACAACACCTCCATTTCCTTCTTAAAAAGTATCTTCCGGGGCGCCTGAGTGGCTCAACCAGTTAAGCTTCTGACTCTTGATTTCAGCTCAGGTCCTGATCTCTCGGTTTGTGAGATCGAGCCCCACGTTGGGCTCTGTGCTGATGGAGCGGAGCCTGCTTGGGATTCTCTCTCTCCCTCTGTCTCTGCCCCTTCCCCGCTCAAAATAAATAAATAAACATTAAAAAAAAATGGTTTTTGGGAAACACAGGTGTGTGGTCGGTTAAGCATTCCCAGCCAGGTCTCTGCAATCTCCACGACCCCTGGGTTTGAGCCAGCGTCAGGCTCTGGGCTGATGGCTGGAGCCTAGAGCCTGTTTCAATTCTGTGTCTCCCTCTCCTCCTGCCTCCCGTTCATGCTCTGTCTCTCTCTGTCCCCCCCCAAAAAAGTTGGAAAAAAAAATGTTTTTAAAGTGTCTTATGAGGCTTCCCTGCCGTGGAGGGGCCTGATTCTTCAGGCTGGCTGTACACTTCTCCTCTGGGCCTTCCCATTAGCACCAGCCTGGGAATGCCCTTCACCATGCTCCTGTGTCAGTAGACCTCATGTCTTCTCTTTTGTTAGTTTACACGGGTAGGTATAGGTTTTTAAAAGCCTTCCACGCCTGAGAATGCCTTTCTACTCTCCTTTTATTGAGAATTTAGCTCAGTATAGAATTCCAAGTTGTGAGTAGTGAGTGCTCTGTTTTTTTCAGGCATTCAGTGTTGTTTTAAGAAATCTAAAGTCATTTTTATTTTTGATTCTTTGAATGGAATCTATGAAAGCTTCTGTCTGGATGTTTTCAGGGTCTTATCCTTGTCCCTGTTGATGTGAAATTTCACAATAATGACCCTCACTATGGGACTTTTCCCACCTGTTATGCTGAAGGCCACTCAGTTGGCCTTTTCAGTATGGATATTTGAGTCCTTTAGTTCTGAGACAGTTCCTTATATTTTTTCTTTGATAATTTTCTTCACTCCATATTCTCTGTTCTTTCTCTCTGGAACTTGTGTTAGTTGGCTGTTTAACTCCTCTAATTTTCTTCTCTTTTCTTAAATTTTTGTTCTATTTCTAGGAGATTTTCCATTTTTTTCTTCTAATCCTCTTCAGGATTTCTTTTTAAATTTCTGTTTTCATACTGTAATTTTTCAAGAATTTTACTTTGGTCTTTTGTTGTAGGTACATATTCATGTTTCGTGAATGCTTTTCTTATCTCTCTGAGGAAATTAATTACAAGATTTTCAAAACTTATTTTTTTTCCCCTGTATTAGCTTTGTTTCTTCCAAGTTCCCTCTTCTTTGTTTGTTTGATTTGGTGCATTTGTTTCATATTAAAGGCCTCCTTGAACTGTCTGGTGATTCTAGGTTGAGTTTTCATATTTAATAGTGAAATACTAAAAAGCCAATTGGATATTCTATCAGCTGGTAGGCTTTATACTTGGATGACTAGCAGTGACTTAGCCATTTCATCTGGAGATCTTCAAATGCTAATATCTATACATCTTTTCACTTGGGCAGGCCAGTTCAGTCTCCTGCCAAGCAGACATAGTCTTGCCTGTCAGTGTTCCCAGAACTGGGATGATGGTGGTGGTGGTAAGACTTTGAGATCTCTCTTTTCAGGGTATAGATTTTTACCTAACAGTGTCTCTTCCTCCCTCTCTGTTATTCCTGGTACCCTGGAGCCCAGTACTTCTCTGGTCCCACTTCTCCAGAGGATAAATTTCTCTGTTGTAGCCCGAATCGGGAAGGGGAGTCACCTGGCTGTGAAATTTAGGAGGGGATCTGAGGGTTTATCTGTTTCTTTCACAGACTTATAATCAATCTTCCTATTTTTAACTACTTCCTCACCTCCGCCTCTAGAGTAACTTCGTATCTCCAATTCCCAGGCCTTTCTGGGTTCTGTGGCTCATATGAGCTTACCACCTGTTGGCACCCCCTCTGCAGACCACTAGGGTTTATCTTTCTGCTGTGCCCATTACTGCTCCTCCACTGATATGCCACTTCCAGGATATTTATATTGTCTTGGCTTCCATTTTCTTTGTCCTTAAGGATTTGTACTTAAAAAATTTTTTAATTTCAGTATAGTTAACATACAGTGTAATATTAGTTTCAGGTGTACAATATAGTGATTTGGCACTTCCATACAACACCTGGTGCCCATCACAAGTGCACTCCTTAATCCCCATCCCCTGTTTCACCTATCCACCCACCTACCTCTCCTCTGGTTACCATCCATTGTTCTCTGTAGTTAGGAATCTGTTTTTTGGTTTGTCTCTCTCTTTTTGTCCTTTGCTCATTTGTTTTCTTTCTTAAATTCCACATATGAGTGAACTCATATGGTATTTGTCTTTCTCTGACAAATTTAGCTTAGCATGAAAAAAAATTTTAAGTGTCTTCGGAGTATAGAGTATTGTAACTCCATCTGTGTTGTTGCAAATGGCAGGATTTAATTCTTTTTTATGGCTGAATAATATTCCAGTGTGTGTGTGTGTGTGTGTGTGTGTGTGTGTATGTGTATCATGTTTTCTTTATCCATTCATTCATCAACCGATGGACACTTGGGCTGTTTCCATAATTTGGCTATTGTAAATAATGCTGCCAGAAACATGGGGGTGTATGTGTCCCATTGAATTAGTATTTTTGTATTTTTTGGGTAAATATCCACTAGTGTGGTTACTGGATTGTAGGGGAGTTCTATTTTTAACTTTTAGAGGAATCTCCATACTCTTTTACACCATTTTTTAAGGATTTATACTTTATTATTTTTTGTTTGTTGTGTGTATGTGTGTGTGTGTGTGTGTGAGAGAGAGAGAGAGAGAGGGACAGAGACAGGGAGAATTCCAAGCAGGCTTCTCACTGACAGTGCAGAGCCCAACACCAGGCTCTTTTCAGGGCTTGATCTCACCACTGCAAGATCACAACTCAAGCTGATATTGAGAGTTGGGTGCTTAACCAGCTGAGCCAGCCTGGTGCCCCAAGGATTTATACTTGAAAAAAATCTATTTACTCTCATGTTAGGTTTTGAGAGGAAACAGATATACCTATTCTACTGTCCTATTTAATTAGAACTAAGCTTCTCCCCCCAAGGCTCTACAGTGAGGTAGCTATGGAAGTAAAAGCAATAAGTGAAACTAGAAGGACATTTGCTTGTTGTTCCTCATCTCTTTAGTTGTGACTTAACAACTTTGGCTGATTTTTTCATGTACTTCTGACAGGTCTTTCTCCTTTCATCGAAAGGTAAACTTCTAATCTGAGTTAATTGGCAGTTGCAGGGATGAAGTCCAATGACTTCCCTTCTGCAGCAAGGGAATAGTTGGGGTAGGGGAAGCTTGCCCTCTCTTGCTTCTCCTATTACTTATATTGAAGGAGAGGGTTCAGGATTGAGGAAGGGACATCCCCCTTTGCCCTGTTCTGCATTCACATCTAGCTTGCCAGATGTAGCCATGCTTAGCAGGTCACTGGCTGTGGATCAATAGGAAATTTTAGTGGCTTCAAATCTGCCAGTGGGGGATTGGGAAGGCTCAGCAAGTTGGAGAGAGAGACATTGTTAGCCTTGTATCAAGCTTCTTTGGGAGATGTCACTTATTTAGACGGGAGAGAGGAGCTGCACCTGCTGTCTCTTTAGCTCACCTGCAGGTGGTAGAGACTTGGGATACAACTGTGAGTACCCCACCATGCTTCTTGGATTTCATGAACTTTGCCAGTTATTAATACTGCAGCGATATCCTTTCCTCCCAGCTGTATCAGCATTTCTTTAGCAAGCTAACTGTCTTTTTCTTACCTCCTTGTCAGAAACGTGTGCTGTCAACAATGGAGGCTGCGATCGCACCTGTAAGGATACTTCAACAGGTGTTCATTGCAGTTGTCCCGTTGGATTCACCCTCCAGTTGGATGGGAAGACTTGTAAAGGTAGCCTGTGCCTCTCCATGCTGCTAATGTATGGGGATGAAGGAAGCTCTTCCCCTCCATATCTCCTGAGTGATTCCGGATTTGCTTATGATTCATATTGATCGAAGCTTTTCTTCCCTGGACTAGTGGAAGGTTATAATTGAGTAAGCTTAATTAGAACCAACTTAATTACACTAACTATTGAGAAGGTCAGCTTCAGCAAGCATCAGATGACCCATTTCAGGTAGGGCCTTATTAGAAAAAGGTGGAAGCTCAAGAAAACATTCATTTGCAGGTGATAATATCAACATCTTATAAATAACAATCTAGAGACTATTTATAAATAACAGCCAAGATTATTATCCAGAGAACATAATGAATAACTATAAAATTAGCTTTTACTAATGAATAGATACCTCAGTGACCTGCTAGCATTTCATGGGCAAGAGTACAAAGGCTTAGTTCTTTAACATGCTAAAAAGTAGACAACCAGTTACCAGATGAAACTGAGAGAAGATAAGATTAATTTGAGTATCAGGAATCATTTAAAAGCATTGAGACTACTTGATTGTTGTGTAATTTGCCAAAGCAAATGTTCTAATTCCTTATAAACTGAAGCATTAAACTGGAATGGAAAGTATGCCCAAGGGAGCCATCTTATCTTGAGAGAGCAGGGCAAGAATGAAACTATAATAGGACATCACCATTCTTTCCCATAATATGTGTCCTTAATGCTAGTCCAGGGTAGCACAAGTCAGAGTTCTCAAGGGGACAAGACACTTGTCTTTCCAAATCAGTTAAGCCAGACTAGAAAACATGTGTAAGATTAAAACATCAGCAAACATCCTTAAACGCTTTTATGGGTCTGTTTTTGTTTCAGAGAGTAATGAAGCACGCACACAATAGCACTTCAGGGATTTGTGGAAAACCAGGCAAGTATCGCTCTCTGATTTGCCGATGCTTACCTGTTACAGATATTGATGAGTGCCAGACCCGCAATGGAGGTTGCGATCATTTCTGCAAAAACACCGTGGGCAGTTTTGACTGCAGCTGCAGAAAGGGATTTAAATTATTAACAGATGAGAAGTCTTGCCAAGGTATGTGCTGAAACATAGCTGTGCTGTGCAATGCCCGCTGGTTGGAGCAGAGAAGACGAAACCCCACTTTGGCAGAGACTGGCTCATTGGGCTTTTTGATGGAGTCATTAATCCAACCTCCAGTCCATGCTTCACTTATTTCATCTGTTGGTAGAGTAAAAACACCAATGTAACTCACAAGTATTAACGATTAGAGAACACCTTAAAGAATCCATCTGGTGTGATTACAGCAGAGCTGGCTGCTAGAAATGGAATGGATCACAGAGTGTAAACAGGGTTGCATTAGGGTGTTGAGATTATGAAGAATTTTTCTTTTCTAAAAATTTCCTTTAATTTTGAGGATTTTGTAATAAAACTTGGTGGAAAAAGTATGTAGATTGAGTTAACATACCTTACCTTTTCCTAGCGAAAAGTTGGGGTCAACCCATAATCAAGGTCATGTACCAGTTGATCTCTTCCTTATAGCCCTTGTTTTTTTTTTTTTTTTTTTTAACATTTATTTATTTTTGGGACAGAGAGAGACAGAGCATAACAGGCAGGGGAGGGGCAGAGAGAGAAGAGGGGAGCACACAGAATGGAAACAGGCTCCAGGCTCCAGAGCCATCAACCCAGGGAAGCCTGACGCAGAGCTCGAACTCCCAGGACGCGAGATGTCGTGACCTGACAAGCTGGGGGAGGTCGGGGCCAGCACCAACCGACTGCATGCACCAGGCGCCCCCTTACTGTAGCCCCATGCTAATGACCGGCCTTTGGGGGGGGAGAGGGAGATGATTAGCAGAGGAAGGGGAGTGAGTGGAGGCAAGGCTGGTGGGTCCTCGGGCAGGATTGCAGACCCCCTCTTACATGCTTTCCTCCCACACAAGAGGTGTGGTAAGGGAGCATCTTTGGGGAGCAGTTGTTGATATTAATAACTCTTATGGATGGGAGTAAGCTTTGTTGGGTGAGAAGCATCATATCTAGTTTCAGATGAGCACCTTTTATGCCCTATGGATATATAGGAAGCAGCTTTCAGGAAAGATGTGCTGTCATGTATTCTTGTTCCATTTCTGGAAATAGAACAGCCTAACTTATTTTGTTAGAAATCCCAGAATTAAATTAAAATCAGAAAATAATATCTGATTTCACTTTAGGTAATAAAAATGGAACATTACCTTCTTTTAGCCTTATGGTATGAATTAGGTTTCTCTCTTGGTTTTTTTTTTTTTTTTCCTCCTAATACATAATTTGTCAGGCACTTCAAGTATAGCCCCCTTTAAATTCAGCAAGATCATTCTAGATGAGTATTGCATGGCTTTCTTCTATTTGACTTGGAAAGCAAATTTGATGTTGCACATAATGTTTCCTAATGTATAGGGCAAGAAATACTGTTTAAGCTGTGTAAACACATTAAAAAGGAATTAGAAAAGTGATCTCATTATTTTTGGCAAAGCAACAGCCCATCATGTGCAGCCAAAGCCAGCTACTGAACAAGTCCACATTCCCAACAACTGGTTGATGTTAATCACAGAATTCAGAGAGTGACATCAATTACTAGGGAAGAAATGGACTTTTTTCCTATTTTTCACTGATCAGAACAAATATTTTCACAGAACAAATTTACTGAGGAAATTGCCAAGATTTCTGGGAAAAGCAAATGATGAAGAGATTTTGTAAGAATTTGCCCTTTCTAATTTAATTTTTTCATTCCTCCAGTTCCTTCCAAATGTTTGGTTTTTATTAACATAGTTTCTTGTGGCACATTTGGTGTTGAAAAAGAGATCTAGCTCTGGGCTAATTGGCTTCCACTGAGTTCTGTATTGGTCCTGGTTTATCCATTTGGAGACACAAGTCATAACTCTATTTAAAAAAAACCCTCCAAAGAGTTGAGGAAATGAAGCACTGAAATTCTAGTCTACAGGAAAGATGTGAAGACCAGACCAGGGAAGAAGAGATGATTAAATCGACAAAGGCAGCCTCCTGAGGCTAGTTTCCAGGACCTCAGCTGAAGCCAGCAATGCCTCCACATTGAACCAGGACAGGAGGGGCCTTGTGGGGCTGGACCATGGCAGAAGAACAAAGCCAAGGGATTGGCCAAGAGGATCCAGTTTGGAGCTTAAACACCAAGTTTTCGTGTCTGAAATAGAAACTCACTGAGGATGTTTGTGTTCATGCATTCTTTTAGTGCAGAGGACATTAAAACCGAGGATAAATTGGACTCCTGGGGCCAGAAGACTAATTCTGGAAAGACAGGAACCAGATTTATCTCCAACCCAGCTGTTTTCTCCTTTCAATTTGCTAGAGCTTATATAATTAGTACTGCTGTTTTACTAATAGTAATATAACAACAATAATGTGTGGGTTGCACCGTATAGTTTACAAACCCTTTTAAGGTATGCTGTCTCATTTAGCTTCATTTAAATATTTTAAATTACTCAGCTCTGCAAATAGGCATGTGAGAAAGACCAACTGAGCTTAAAGACAAGTGCAGTTTGCAACAGAATTTGGAAATAAGGATTCTGGTTGTGAGTATACTTATTATAGGCTGCCCAACATTGTCTAAACACAAGTGAGCAAGAGAACTGATACTTTTAAAATTCTGTTTATGTTGTTTTCGTTGTCAGTCAATAGGTGGAATTACAAATGCTCTTTCCACTCATCCCTCAGAGTTGGTTTCAGCTCCCCTCTCCCTTTGACAATTACAGATGTGGATGAATGCTCTTTGGATAGGACCTGTGACCACAGCTGCATCAACCACCCTGGCACATTTGCATGTGCTTGCAACAGAGGGTACACCCTCTATGGCTTCACCCACTGTGGAGGTGAGCAGAATGTCCCTCTAGAGTCAGGTGAACCTGGGCCTGCAGGGGAGGCCTAGCTCCCAAGGTTTCTCCAGATCAGGGTCAATTTTCCTATATTGGGGAGTGAATGGGAAGTTTTAGTCCCTGTATAGTCGTAGTGACTTCATCAACTCAAGGGAAACATCTGCTAAGGGAAATCTATCACACTGATCCCTTTAACGTGTTGAGTGTGAAATGGAGCAGAGAGAAGAAGTGAGCTAATCAACTGTGAATTCTTTGTTGACTTTATTGACATAGTTGTATTCAGTGGAAGGGTCTCTCAGGAGCTGATATCCTGTCTGTTGGAACTTCCCAGTGGATAGGAAAGTCACAGTCCTCAGAGAGGGCACCAACCAATTCCACAGCCTTACTGTGCACAGGAACTAGCTGAAAAACCTTTTTAAAGCTTGGAGCTGGTCTTTGGACAGGTCTTTGAGCTGGGAGTGGGACCGTCGACTTGATCTCTCTGTGCTGTGCCCATGTAGCAGCATGTTCTGATGTCATTTGTCCTTATTCTCATGTAGACTATGGCATAAATAAGATTTGACATCAAATGACTCCCCCCCACAATTCTGAATGACTTGGGCTTCTTAAAGGTATTACTGAGTATCCGAATATTTGGGAACTACTGGCCTAAATACTTCCTGCCCAATCCTTGTGTTCTATACATAATAAGAATGGAGCGTAGTGGGATTTGGTATAGATAGTATTGTCTCTCTTTTCGATACATCCTTGGCATGGCTAAAAATGTACTTTTCCAGTCCACCAAGAATATATTCAAGAAAATATTCCCTGAATATGGATGTGTGTCTGGGTTTTTGATGGACCACCTTCCAGCCTAGACTCAGTCTCAGGTTGATGGGAATTAGTGCAAGTCATTTTTCTTTTCTATATTCCACCTACTGAATGTGAACTGTCAAGTGAAGAATCCTAATTCTATCTCCCTTGGTATGTAGCCCAGGAGGATGGGCTATGCAGTGCTTGAGCTTGGACATCTGAAAGTAGAGTGTGCCCCCCTTCTGAGTATCCTGAATGGGGGAAATGTTTGGTCAAGAACGGAACTTGAGACCATCCTGGCGAGGCCTATGCCAGGAAATCCACTGAGTGGGGAGTGGGGTCTGCTGGTGCCAGGTGCACATCCTGAAGGCAGTTAGCACCTTCCCTTTGTTTAGTGAGTTCAACCATGTGACTTCCTCAAGGGAGGGACAGCGCCAGCCCGGTCATCCATGGGCTGCTGTGACAGGAGAGTGTTTTGTTCCACAGACACCAACGAGTGCAGCGTCAACAACGGAGGCTGTCAGCAGGTCTGTGTGAACACTGTGGGCAGCTATGAATGCCGATGCCACTCTGCATACAAGCTCCACTGGAATAAAAAAGACTGTGTGGGTAAGGGGTACCGAGGCTCACAGTCAGCGGGCTCACACTGCCACTGGCAGCTCTCTCCCATGTCCAACTGGGCCCGGAGTGCACTTGACCATCCCTTCACTGATTCTTCTCCCCTCAGCAGCAGCAGCCATTCTTTAAATAGTTCAAAAACAGGAGATACTTTACAGGCTCTTTGGTGTTTCCTTCTGTGCTTCTGTGTAGGTTGGAGCACTTCTGTTTTTCTGGTTGTTTTTCTGCATGGAAAAAAATAGCATACAAATAGCTTCCTTACCTTGGAGGGACATGGCGCCCTGTGTCTTGTGTTCTGTGCTGGGTATCAGTTCCACCTTCTTTTCTTGGGGCCTTGGATGTCTGGAACTCAGCTGCCTTTATCATGCCTGGAAGTGTCCTTCTCTTTCTATAAGTGTCTGCTTTTTGTCCTGTCTAGAAGTGAAGGGGGTCCTGCCCACTAGTGTATCACCCCATGTGTCCCTGCATTGCGGTAGGAGTGGTGGAGGAGACAGATGCTTCCTCAGATGTCACTCTGGCATTCACCTCTCTTCAGGTGAGTGGGTCTCAGTCCCTGGGGCAAGTCCTCATGCCAGAACCAGGCCTTCCTGGCATTTAGGTGTTAAACACCCTCAAAGGATTTCCAGGTGTTTGACCAGCTGCCCCCTGACCACCAGAGGCCCATGCCTTGACACCCATATGCTGAGCATTTGTCTAGTGGTCCACGTGGAATGGGAGGTGGGGGGTGATTTTAGCTCCTACCAGGAGAGACCGTAACCTTGCTTTCATGTTGACAACCCACATTCTGTCTGTCAGGACTGCAAGAGGCCTACTCTGTCACCTGCGGCTCTTCCTCTTCTCTCAGGAGCAAACAGCAAAAATCCAATGACTCTGCTTTCGGGGGTAATTACCAAATCTGCATGTTCTCTCTGGGGTTCACTGTGTTAAATGGGCTTCATTCTTGAGGTGCAGTTCTGGGCATTGGCTTTATTTTCTTTTCTCTTAATCTCCTCATTGCTGTGAGTGCATTACAGGATGTTCTTGCCCACAGCCTTGGTGCCTGAAAACTGACTCACTGTGTAACAAATACTTACTGACTGTCCACCGTGTGCTAGGATGCTCTGTGTTCAGCCCTGGTGGGTTGTCATCTTGGGCAGAGGTGCACAGAACTCTGAGATCTGGAGGTTCGGGTCTCTCAAACTCCCTGTACCCCAGAGCACCTCAAAGGCCCAGAAGGCAATGTGTGCCTGGAGCACATGGAGTTGGTAGAGATAGACATGGGCATGACGGGGCGCAAGGATTCTCTCCAGAGAAAAAGGCCTGAACACTTTCTCATTTGTCAAAAGACAAAGAATGAAATTTAAAGCTTTTAAGTAGCCTTGTCCTCCTCGATTTAGATATCTCTATGATTATGTCATGAGAATATTTGAATGAGCAAATAGTTCCTGATGTCTGTATTACATATATGAGCAGAGCTAGCTGGTAATAATACTCGAATATATTTATTGAGCAGTTAAAACATAACCAGCCTCTGTATTACATGTATTATCTGATCTAATCCACACTGCAACCCTCGGCGCAATTTTGCTATTATCCTCATTAACCAGATGAAGAAACTGAGGTTCAGAGAGGTGAAATGATATGCCCAATGTGACTCAGATAGGAAATAGTGGAGCCAGGATTTTAACCAGAAGTCTAGATCTAGAGTCGTAAGCATCATCCTTCACTGCCTCTCTTGCCTAACATTTGGATCCAGTCAGAACAGATATCATGGTCTGTTTCACCAAATCCCTCAGTGATGGGCACTTGGAAATTTAGGCCACCCCCAGGATGGGCAAGCAAATAGTTAATAGTCATTCAGTTCTTACTTTGTGCCAGACAGTAGGATAAACTTTTTTTTTTTATTATCTCATTTAATCCTCATAAGGATTACATAATCCTCATGTAAGTACCCCAATTTTGTCTGTTTTACAAATGAGGAAACTGAGGCTTAGGGAGCTTTAGTAACTTGCTTAAGTTCTCATCATAAGTCAAAGAGCTAAAGCATGAATCCTGGTCTTTGGCTCCAGAACTTGACATATGATTAAGACTGATTGTGGGAGGGAGAGCAGAATTTTGCACAAGAGGCCCTAAAAGTGGGACTGTCGCTTTCCCCAGACCCTGAACATCCTAGCCACACTTAGTGAGTGCCATCCCTGTCTGCTCCCTCAACCTTGTCCTCCCAGGAAAGACTTATCCAGGAGAATCTGCCCTTCACCATTTCCATCAGCAGTCTTGTTTAAATTTGAACTAGGAGATTCTGGTCTTCTTTCTTGGGAAGGCATAAAAGTGACTTCATGGTTCATCTCAGCGTTCAGGTTGTTTTAGGTTCTCTCTTTATTATATTCGAACACAGGATTCACTTCAGATGAAGGGATAAGTGTAACTCTTAGGAGGCTCCTGGTGTCCCCAGCCTCAGGGTAACGGGCACTCCATGATCCAAATCTTTTGTGGTCTCAGGGTAAGAGAGGAGCTCAGGGTGTGCAGTGTATAGCCTACGGATAGCTTGCCACTACCCACCAGATATTTCCATTCCTTTGTCTCTGAAGATAACATCTTTCACTTGTTTCTTTCTGAAGATGTCGCCACCATCAGGACAAGTGTAACCTTTAAACTAAATGAAGGCAAGTGTAGTTTGAAAAAGGCTGAGCGGTTTCCCGAGGGTCTGCGGCCAGCACTACCAGGTATGGAATCAGATGGCTGGTGCAGGGAGCTTGCCTGCATGTTGGGAAAAGGGCCTGTAACAAGCCGAGCCCTTCAGATGGGATTGAACAGTCCAGAATCTGCAAGGACTCTCTTCGCAGGAAGAAGAGGAGCTAACCTAGCACCTCTGTATAGTTCTGGAGTTATACTTCAGGGTTTCCTTTGCCAGGTACAGATGGTAAAGCTCTGGGGTAACATATGAGTTCACAGGAATCAATAAGGACTTTAAGATGCATTGTCAATTTGTGATCATATTGGGTTAAATTTTCTAGATCTTAGAGTCACTTGGAATATAAGCCAAAGAAATGAAAGAGGTTTGGCTCAGGATAATCTTTGATGAACTAAGATGTAATATCCAGCTTTCCTGCTGGATCCAGTCTTTGGAGGCAGGGTCTCCATTAGCTTCAGCAGAACAAACACCATCCAAGTAGAACTGGCCTTTTAGAGAACAGAACGCAACACTCCTTCCGCAGCTCACATTTCCAGTATTATTTCATAGAATAATTTTAGAGATTAAAAAAAAATCAGGATTCATGGATTAGGGATGCTTCTTTCCTTAGTTTACGTCTAATAAATCATACAAATGAACAAAGCTCACTGTAGTCACTTTTGCCTGTTTTTTTTTAAGAAACTAATTGAGATTAATTTTGGTACCTCCATTTGATGGGATTTTTTTTAAGTTTATTTGTTTAATTTTGAGAGAGAGAGTGCATGTGTGCATGCGTGCATGCGAGCAGGGGAGGGGCAGAGAGAGAGGGAGAGAGAGAGAATCCCAAGCAGGCTCTGTGCTGTCAGCACAGAGCCCAACACGGGGCTCGATCTCATGAACCATGAGATCATAACCTGAGCTGAAACTGAGATCAGTAGATTAACCGACTGAGCCACCCAGGTGCCCCCCATTTGATGGGATATTATGCAGCTATTAATTATGTGTTTCCAAAGAATGTTTAATGACATAGGAAAATGTTCTTATAATAAAATGCTAAGATGGAGAAGGAGAGAGTAAGATTTTGTGTATCTAAACAACCCAAACTATGTAAGAAAAAGTGGGACTAGGTGGAAAAGAAGGGAAACTCACCATTTCATCAGTAGTAGTAATAACTAGGTGGGAGGATGCAGGAGATTTTAATTTTTAATTTTTTTTTTTGCATTTTCCAAATTCTCCACAGTGAGCATTTATACTTTTAGATCAGAGGGAAAAAGCATTATTTTATTTATTTTTTTTTTCAACGTTTATTTATTTTTGGGACAGAGAAAGACAGAGCATGAACGGGCGAGGGGCAGAGAGAGAGGGAGACACAGAATCGGAAACAGGCTCCAGGCTCTGAGCCATCAGCCCAGAGCCTGACGCGGGGCTCAAACTCACGGACCGTGAGATCGTGACCTGGTTGAAGTCGGACGCTTAACCGACTGCACCACCCAGGCGCCCCGAAAAAGCATTATTTTAAAAGAGACTTGGTCTTTAGTTTCTTTAATGGTATTATACTATGTTAATTTCTTAGTGTTGATACATATACATGTTACATGTTAATGTAAGATGTTAGCATTAGGGGAAACAACCAAGTGTATACGGGAACTCTCAGTTCTATCTGAGCAATTTATCTGTAAATCTAAACTTATTTCAAAATAAAAAGTTTAAAATATAGATTTGGGAAAATTGAAGGAGAGAAATATTCAAAATGACTGTTTAGTTTGAGATTTGAAGTTAGCCTTTTGAAAAGGTAAGATGGATTTTTAGGGGAAATTTAGGTGTGAGGGAGAATTAATCTGCCTCCTCCTTCCTTTGGCTCCTGATCACCCATTGCTTTGAACATCCTTGTAGTGTTGAAGAAAAATATGATACAGATGATACATCAGTTGAGTAAAGTAAGAGTTTAAAATATAGATAAATCAGGGGCACCTGGGTGGCTCAGTCAGTTAAGCCTCCGACTTCAGCTCAGGTCACTCACGGTTGGTGAGTTCGGGCCCCATGTTGGGCTCGGAGTCTGGAGCCTGCTTCGGATTCTGTCTCCCTCTCTCCCTGCCCCTCCCCCACTTGTGCTCTGTCTCTCTCTCTCTCACTCTCAAAAATAAATAAACATTAAAATTTTAAAAATCAGACAAATCAGTTGTGTGGATGATAATGTGGTTTGGGTTAACAGCCATTAGTTAAAATATACACTGGAAGCCATGGGGAGGGGAGGAGGAGAGATGGCCAGAGTCTGGAATAGGGACGTGCAGAGCCTTGCCTTACACAGCACTTTCCCTCCCACCCTAGATGCCTTCATGATATTGTTTGGTTCTCTAGATGCTTTGTGCCGTATATTGCTCCTGGTTATTTCAAAATGAGACCTCACTGTTAATGTGCTTTCCAGCTTCTTCTTCAGGTTAGAATTACTCCAAGGTCAGTTTGCCTGAAAGCAGGAGTTGGTTTTCTTTCTACTTTTATGCTCGTTCCCTGTTTGAAGGCTCAGCCCCTGCTTGGTACATCACAGTCCAGCTCTAAGGAAACCAACCGTGAGAACACGAGCACACCTTAGCAGACTGTCAGTTAGGAATGCAAGGCAACCCTGGTGTCCTGTCTTCCACATATGTGGCTGGTCAGTCAGAAACATCTAGCATTCACCCATGCAAATAATTTTCAAGGGCTAAATTGTTAAGTTATATAGGAGGCAATACTGGCTCTTTGAATTTAAAATGTCATCGTGCTCCTAGCTGCAACGTCTTGGCATCTGGAGTTAATCACTTAGTCCCTTGAGAGTTGTTTTAATGAAATGTTTACTGAGCTCTAGCGAATGTTCAACTGAGTGCTTTGCCAGGATCTGGCTTCCGATAATTTTGTTTCTTCATACAGAGAAGCACAGCTCAGTAAAAGAGAGCTTCCGCTACGCAAACCTTACATGCAGCTCTGGCAAGCAAGTCCCAGGAGCCCCTGGCCGACCAAGCGCCACTAAGGAAATGTTTATCACTGTTGAGTTTGAACTTGAAACTAACCAAAAGGAGGTGACAGGTTGGTTTGAACACAGTCTTTGGTGTCAGGCTGCTCACAGCTTGCTCCTTACTCTTTTGCCTTTCACTTTTCATCATTCTTGGGGGAAAAAAGTACTGCAACCACTGAAGTATCTCCTGTTTTTTGTTTTTTGGTTTTTTTCACTCCCAAACTAGACTGAATTGGTTTGGAACCTCATGATTTAATCTGCTCCATAAAAACTCAAAGCTTCGGTTTTGGTCAACAAATTTCTGTTGGAATCAAATGCTGCCCAGCCTGCTAGGTGCCCAGCCCCAGGTGTCCCCCCACTCTGTCCACAGGGAACAGCGGGTGTTGGTGGGTCCTGCAGCTGGTGTCTGGACATCCTCATATCCTGCAGCCTGACCTCCTTTCCCACTGCTGTCCCTCTCATTCCCGTAGCTTCCTGTGACCTGAGCTGCATCATAAAGCGAACTGAGAAGCGGCTCCGGAAAGCCATCCGCGCACTCCGGAAGGCTGCCCACAGGGAGCAGTTTCACCTCCAGCTCTCGGGCATGGACCTTGAAGTGGCAAAAAAGTCTCCCAGAACATCTGAACACCGAGTAGAGTCCTGCGGAGTGGGCCAGGGCCATGCAGGACACCAATGTGGTGAGTGACCTGCTGGCCAGGACCTTCTCGCTAACAGAATTGTTTCGATCTCCATGAAGACTAAGGGTAACCCAAAGTGTGGCCTATTCTCCCTCTCTGGACTCACTCCAGAGAACACCCTAGACACCACTCTTACTTGGGATCTATATGTTGGTGTCTGATGTACCTGCTGGACCAGGAGCTCCCCAGCACCTGGCACAGTGTCTGGCTTGTTGGTCGGCACTTAATAAATGCTGGATTGAGGGATGGAAAGGAAGAGGTAGGGTTGATGACAAGAGGGAGTGCTGACCTTAAAGGGTCTGAGTGATGACGATCTTCAGAGCCTTGTGGTCCCAGGCAAGGGGCAGGACTATAGGTGTAAGGCACCCTTGAGCCTTCTGCACGCTCCACTGTCAGTTCCCCATTGTCTCCCTCTGGCTCGACTGATGTTGGCAATGAACAGTGTTGGCAATGAACAATCTCCTGACCATAGTTTTGTGCAGAGGCAAGGCTGGGGTGGGGGTGGGGAGCACTTGGCAGCCTAATGAGATCCCTGAGCTTCAGCCCAAGGCTCCTAGTAGTGTCAGTTCCATATATGGGTGTGTCTGTGTGAGTGTTTCAGAATTAAGTTTGAGACCCAGCATTTGAACTACGCCAATTCTATTTCTCTGATGAAGTTCTAGGCAGGAGGTTTAAGGGTGGTCGGTCTTGAGATTTGTTGGTGAAGAAGAGCTGTTTTGGGCAATAATGTGAGAGTCTAGCTTTATAGGTAATCACTTTATAGTCTCACATTATAATAATCATGGTAATGATTTACTGAGTTTTCATCTGACACAAGTACGACGTTAAGCACGGTATCTGTAGTATCTCCTTTAACCCAGTCATCTTACCAGGTAGGTCTTATTATCTCCACTGAACAGAGGAACAATCTGGAGCTCAGAAGGCCAGGTTCTTTGGCTCTAGATCACACTGATGGTCTGACTCCAAGCCTGTGGTCTGGTCTCAAGTAAGGTGCATTTTGATAACCAGACCCCTCCAGAAAAATTGCTGTCCTTTCTCAAGTGGCATTAGAATCACAAAGCCCTAGAAATGAGGCTTGTGCTAAGGAGTAATAAGCCAGTGTTTTGCAAGAAGCAAAGCTGAGCCCAGGGCACTCATTCAGAAGAGTTGTGGGCAATAACCCCAACTCTGTTGCTTTCTCAAAACGAAGTAAAAATCAAGTATAAAATCAAGTGTAATTGTCCGCCAGGGGCTGGTTTTCAAATAGTCTTGAGTTTGATTCTAGCTAACTCTTTTAAAAAGAAAAAAAAAATTAAGAAACAACCCAGCTGGTTGGTTTGTTCTCATTTAAAATTCTAGAAGTTCGTTTCCGTACCAAAATGGTGATGAGAGTTGGCTGTTGCTGCCCTACTTTACGGAGTGAGTTGCAGAAACTGTCAGGGACAGGCAGACCAGTCTTCCTGCTGGCCTCTGAGAGCTAAATTGCATCCCCTTTCCCCATTTGCTATTCTGGTAGAGAGAGGCCTTACGGGCTTGCCAGGGAGCTTTGTGGCCAGTGAAGAAATCAGGCAAAACTAAAGTATTACTAATACTACCATGGCTGTGCTCCCATGGAAAAGGCTCAAGAACGAGGATCAAGAGTTACTTAAACAGAGGCCTCATGACCATGACAACTTGTGAAAGACATTTGGTACGGGGTTTATGTCACTGTTGTGTGTATTAATGTGTCCTGAGATGCTTGTCATGCTAAGTTAGGTTGAATTTGTTGTTGAGAGGCAATGTGTCTTGTCTCAAGAGCTCCCTCTAGCAATGGATGAATTTTGTAGCCCACATGGAACCAAATCAGGTTCACCCTGACAGCAGTGTTGAAGATTTTACCATGTAGAGAAAACAGCACAAAGAATTATCAGTGAAATTTCTTCCTTGGTGAAGGGAGAAAGTGTGTATAAGAAGGGGCTGCATATGTTAATTAGAAAGGTTTTTTTTTTTTTTTTTTTTTTTTTTTTTTTTTTTTTTTTTTTTTTTTTTACTCAGAAGACACATGCCATGGGCAAGGGGGCAGGGAGTGAGTGAGGGGGGACAGGGGGAGCTTGTCGTATGTTCCTTATATTCCTGGATTATTTGAACATCATAAATCCCAAGCTTACTGGTATTTTCTGAACTCTGGATGGTATATACAGTGGAGACATGCCTAGGATAGTTCTTTTTGGAAATTACTTTCAATGTCAGCAGAAAGGAGCTCCCAAAAACATTTTGAGTCACTGGGAGGAAAGATGGAACCATTACATTTTTCCTTTAAAATATTTTTTATTTAGTTTTCCATTACCAAATTAGCGTATGTTTCAAGTGGTACAGAAATGTATACAGTAAGGGTAAAAGCTCTCCTAATCCTACTCTTGGGAAAGAATCCCTGTCGATAGGTTGCTATGTATTTTTCTATATCTGTTGTTATATACATATAAAAATGAAATTTTATTTAGTAAATATTTATTGAGCACCTACTGTGTGTCAGGTACTATTCTAGGAGCTGGGAATCCAGTAATGACACAAAAAGGCAAAAATCTTAGCCTTCCTAGCATTTACAATTCTGGAAGAGGAAGACAGACCACAAACCAATAAAGAAGGAAATACGTGGTGTAGTGGATGGTGATAAGGGTATGAAGGGTAAGCAGGGAAGTGGAATAGAAAGTGGCAGGGAAGGGGGAGGGCTGAGGAAGAACATACTCTCCCCTAATGTAGACTATGGTCAGGGACTGTGGTTGTTGCAAAGTGTCATTTGGACAGAGATGTGAGAGATGGAAGAAGCAAGCTATGGGGATATCTGGGGGAAGAGTCCCAGATGAAGGAAAGAGCAAGTACTGAAACCCCAAGGTAAGGGAAAGCAGGCCAGGAAGATAGGTGGGGGAGGGAGGGTAAAGGTGGGACGTCAGAGCAGTAGCCAAGGGCCAGACCAGGTGGGGATGGAAATCTGGGTGAGGGCTCTGACTCTGATTCTGAGTGAGAAACAAAGTCAGCGAAAAGTTTTAAGCAGAGGAGTAACAGGGTTTCTGACTCATGTCTTAAAAGGATAACTGGCAGCTATAGGCTGATGTATGAAAAAAACATTTTTAAAAAAATGTATCAATACAATTTGAATAGTGCTGGGTTGTTTCTAAAAATAGAGTAGATCATTAACATCCTTCCATGCTAATAGAGGAGTTAAGTTTATTTCTTTTAAAGCTTCCTAGTCTGTATTTGTTCTAAGATACTAGTATTTATTAACCATACCCACATTGGTGAACACTTAATTAAGTTGTTCCTAATTTTTTTAACAACAAAAAATGCTGCAGTGAATATCCTTTTTTGTGCACGTGGCCTGTAGGTTTGAAATGTCATAGAAGTCTACTTCTACCAAGTTTAACTTGTTTTTCTTAGATTATTAGTAAAACTGAGAATGCTATCATACGTCTGTGGCCATTTGGATTTCTTCTTCTGGGAATATCTGCATTCTTTGCCTATTTTTCCACCAAATTGTTGCTTTTCCAATATCACTTAAAAAATAAATGTTAAAGTCCTAAGTTACATCAAAGAACATAATCACTTCTGACCAATAAAACACTTTATTTATTGTACTTATGTTTGCATAGAAAGGTCTCATTCATTTGGCATTTAAGAACTTTGGGGACAGTCTGCTGCAGGTGACCTTTGTACCATCTGTGATCAATTCTAGCTTGATGTCAAAAAAAAAATAGTGATTACATTCTCTGAGGAACAAATTCCTTAAACTCCATAAAATTCACAAAGCCCTTTATACCTAAAGAAAAAATAAAGATGACATGGATTTCTATTTTTTTTCATAGCCATTTATCGTTTTATAAAGGATGAATTATTTAAGGAATATACTTGCCAAAATATATATTTTTATATTTGATTATTCTGAAAACTTGCGGAAATTTTTAGAAGACACAATTCAGGCAACTGGCAAACTGGGAATAATTTTGTGCCTGAGTTCTTGAGAGAACTGAGAAGGTTTAATTCAACTTTCGACAGCAGTAACTTTCCTCTGCAGCAATTGAGAAAAATTAATTCAAGCAATATTTATTGAGATACCACTCTGAACTTAGGATGAAGCAGTGAACATAATGGGTGAGGAGCTTGCTGTTATGAAGTTCACATTCTAACAGAAGGACATGGACAATAAAAAAGTAAAGAAAAAAATAATTTCAGAAGTTAAAAATGCTATGAAGATAATAATACAGAGGACAGAAGGGAGGACGGATTACTCTCCACAGTTGTTCAAGAAGGCTTTCAGAGCAGGTGACGTTTGATCTAAGACCTAAATGAGAAGGAGCTAGCCTTGTAAAGCTCTGATGGAAGCAACGGACGTTCTGGCTGAGGAGGGATCACCAAGTGCAAATGGCCTGAGGCAGGAATGAGCCAGACATTTTCTTCTTAATTATTTCAGAATTGAGAAATTATTTGGAATTGAACATGCAGAAATTTTCTTATCTGTTTTAAATCATGGAAATTATAAAGCTTATATTAGCAATATGGACCAATATTAGACCAATACTTATCACACAGACTTGGTAGGAAATTCTTTTATTTTTTATTTATTTATTTTTTTAAATATAATTTATTGTCAAATTGGCTAACGTACAGTGTGAAAAGTGTGCTCTTTATTTTTGGGGTAGATTCCCATGGTTCATCGCTTACATACAAACACCCAGGGCTCATCCCAACAAGTAGTAGGAAATTCTTTTCATTAAAAGAGTTTAAAAAACAGAATTTGGCAAAATGTTGACATTTATTGAGCACTTACAATGTGTTTAGCAGTGTGCTAAGCACTTTACATATATTATGTCCTTCAGTCCTCATTGCAAGTCTCTTTTGCATCATGCCTTTTTTACAGATAAGGAAACTAAGACATAGGGAGGTAAGGAGTTTTGCCAATGTCACTCAGCAAGTAAGTGGCAGAGCCAGCATTCAAATCCAGATCTGTCTCAAGAGCCTGTATTCCTCTCTCAGTGTGAATGCTCTCA